ATTTCGTTTGGTTGCATACGGGTTATGGTGTCAAGCCAGGACAGACAAGATCACTGGCTATCTGAACTAGACCTGAGAATTCCCAGGGCCACCACAAGGTCCATTCCGGGTGAATGAACCTCTGGCCATGCTCAACACTACGACTGTAAGCAGCACCTGATCTCAGAATGGGGCTCATTGTCTGGAGCTGGGGTGCTGATCCAAAGGATCCAATATGATGCCCGTCACCAAAGGCTGTACCCATAGCTGTGAACGTTGACATCACTGGCGTATCTGTGCTTGGTATTAAGCTTGTGGTGCCTTTATACTAGGAAGGCCGTTGGCATGGAGGTAGGCACACACAGCACAGTAATGTTGACCCCATAGGAAGGCTCTGACTTGCACCTGGAACCTAGGGCTTCACATGATTTCCAGAGCAGCCTGTTAAATCAGTTCTGCAGTTGTTTGCCGCCACTTGTATCTCAAATATTCCCTGGCTTGGCAGCAGTACGTTGGCTCCCTCCACACAGAAGGCCTGCTGAGGAGGCTGGAATGCATGTGAAAGAGGAGATAGAAAGTGCTCCCTGGCTTCTATCAAATCACTCCTGGCTTTTCTGCCACTCGAGTGCAGGATTCCATTGAGTGCTAATCTGGGATCACCTATCAAAAGATGCAGACATCTTAAATATCCCGAGTTTTGTTTAGAGATCCAATTTCAAAGTTTTGACTGCATCTGGAGTGTTTGCCTAGAGAATGAGTGCCACGGCAAAGGCCAGGCAACTTCCATCGGCCCTGAAATAAGCAGAAAGCAGTGGACAATGGCATGGTGACACACCTGAAGAAATCATTCCACCCCAGTCTGGTTTGGTGAAGCAGTGAGTTTATGGGGGTCCTCATAGGTCCATGGGTAAGATGTTACTTAAAGGAGCACACAGCAGCAGCACTGAGAAGCCCAACCCAGCTTGGGATGCAATACTGCATCCGTGGAGCTCTCTGCAGGACCTGCAGGCAGTCTGCCCATCCCAGTGGGAGGGTGGCTTTCCCCTTCGATTATTGCTGCTGAGACAACCTTGATGGGCTTTAAGAGTCTGCGAGCCTCTGAATTTCCTGAGCCTGATAAGTTCAGTTTACTTCTGAAGTCTTAGAAGCATCCTTAATTCCCTCTGTGAGGGAATATTTCAGTTCAATGGAAACAGCTGCATCAGCATCATCACAGAGGGACCAGGCTGGGTGGGCACCTGCTGCTTCCCTTTGAGCTGAGTCGAGCACTCAGCCATCACTCCTAAGAGGCCCCACAGATCTGTCCGGTGTTCTGGACTCTGACCTCAGTTTTTAGGATGCACAGTGGAATCCGACCCATGCCAGGATTGCATTTCTATTTACACATGCCAGAATCTCATAACAATACGGAGGTTATGTTGATTTTCAACACCCTTTCCCAAAATTCTATCACCTGATGATTTCTCCAGCCTTTTTTCATGGTGCAGGTTTGCCTTTCCTGTTCCTCGTGAGTGATAATAGAAAGGGTTAAAATGTCATCAACTTGTAGACACACAGCTTCGCTGCTTACGACCTGGACCATTACGTCATCTCTGTGGGTCTCTACCTCCTTTTTCATAAACTGTGGTCCCTCATGAGTTGATAAGCAGGAATGGTAAGTGGCAGAAGCCTGGTATGTAGGTGCCCAACACTCTTAGTCCCTCCCCTCCCTCAGTCCTTGTCCTTAGTTCTTCACTCACTTGCTCACCAGAGCAGAGTGACAGGACTCTCCATGATATGCAGAATGGCAGACAAGCCCATAGAGGTCAGCAGCAGCTTTAAACAGAACACAGTCGTCCACCTCTGTTGAAATGTTTTCACTGGGACTACGTGTGATCAAAGCAACTCAGTGCAAAAAGGTTTCACAGCAATGACAATATGTTACCATTCAAACAAATTATCAATGGGATCACCCATCTACTTTAAATAGACTGCTTTAGAAATATAAGGCGGCAAAAACAGGGTAGGCAGTTGACTGGATCAACAGTGACTGCCTGGGTTCTAGTATAAGACCTTAGGGTGTTGCATATGGCGTAGAGAAAACTCGGCTCTTATCCTTGGATGCTCTTTTTTAAACAAAGCTGGCTTTTGAGAGGTCAGGCTTTGTTCTAGATTGCATTTCCATCCATCAAGGATCTAATCTCCCCCCCCCCATTCAGTTTTTGTTCTCTATTGCCCATCAATGCAACATTGTTTTCATGTTAATGCACTTACTCGTTAAATAATCCATAGTTACAGTCTTGATGTTTTCAGAGTAAGAGATTCTAGGCTCTTTCAAAGCACAGTCCTCATTACACAAACAAGGAGACAGGGCAATATTGTCACTTTTTTTTTCAGTTACTATAGTGCTTCTGAGAATCATTCCATTTATTTTAAAAATGTAGCCAAGAGAGCAATGAATTACAATCTTGTCCAGCCTTTAAGGGTTACTCATAGCTATAAAGTGACTACACACTATTTCCTGCCTTACTTAGCTTCTTGAAACACAGTTTCTGGTTTTCCTAAATACTACACCATTCCTCCTGTCTTCCTCCACCCAGCTTTGATTCTGCCATAGTGAGAAAATGGTGACTTCACACATCTGGCTCTATGCTTCTAGTGATGGACTGTCAAGCCTGTTCCTACATGCCCTAAGTAGGGTCTCAGACCCATGGTAGCCAGTGCTGATTCTGTGAGCTTGGCTAACGGCATCTGATACTGTGTTATGGAGTTTAACCTTTCTACTGTTCAGGCAGAGGCTTGCTTCTGAGGTATCAAGCCGTACATGCATACCTGCTACCTTCTACAAATCTATGGGAGAACAAACTCTTCTGATCCCAATAAGAACACAAAGCCCACGATCTGATCCTGTAACATTTTCTCCTTTTATGCCAAAAAACTGTCTTGCCTCTTTTTGCGTAGTCATCGAATGAGGCTCGTTCACTATGACCATGAGAGAACGTTATAAAAATCAGGCCAGCAACGATTCCCACAGGGAAAGGCACTAAATGCTGATGAGCAGAGGGAAGCAATTGTAGCAAGAAGCAAGGTCTTAACTGGAGTTGTAGTAAACTTTTTAAAAATTTTTATTTATTGTATGTGTATGCCTATGTGCCTGAGTGCGTGTGTGTGTGTGTGTGTGTGTGTGTGTGTGTGTGTACCACCCACAGACACCAGAAAAGGTTGTCTGGTCCCTGGAACTAAAACCAAAGACACTTGTGAACTGCTATTCTGGTACTGGGAATCCAACCCAGGTACTGTAGAAGAGTAGCCAGCATTCTTAGCTGCTGAGCCATCTCTTTGCCTCCCAGTTAAACTTTCTGCTAAATGTCTAGTTATTAGTTAGGCTATGTTTCATTTTAATTCAGCCAAAAGTAAGACCAACCTCTGTGTGTGTGTGTGTGTGTGTGTGTATGTGTGTGTATGTGTGTGTGTATGTGTGTGTATGTGTGTGTGTATGTGTGTGTGTATGTGTGTGTATGTGTGTGTATGTGTGTGTATGTTTGTGTGTGTGTATGTGTGTGTATGTGTGTGTGTATGTGTGTGTATGTGTGTGTGTATGTGT